TATCTAACAAACAAAAAAGAAAAAAAAAACCCACATCATCCTGTAATACTTTCCATAATAGGAAATGATAGTTGTTAAAGTGAAAATAAACCAGGAAGGAAAGATTGAGAGTGTTTTATTTGGTTACTTCCTGATAATACCAGGGCACAGATGAGAATGTTACTTAGCAGAAGACCAAGTAGTGTGAATTTCCCCAGTTGGTCACACTTTCAGAAACATCTGGGAAAAATATCAGATTGAGCCTTTTTTCCCCAAAAAAATATTCAATGTGTTTGTTTCTGTTTGGTTATATATAATGTGTGTGTATATATATTTGTGTGTGTGTGTGTAATCATTTAATACATTGCAATGATGAACTATCATTCCTGCATGTATCTAATCATGGAATAGTGTCCATACATTAATTAAGCTTTTCAGCCTTACCTTGGAAAATCATAGGCTTCACTTTTTTCTTTTGCTTTTTATGTATTAAGTTGACCCATAACAAATTAGTGATTTTCAATTTAGATAAAAATCTGGAATCTTAGAGACTTATTCAGAGATATCATGGTGTGGGTGTGTGTGTGTGTGTGTGAAGGATCAGGGTATACTCTGATTACCTCATTGATAATCAGTTCTTAAAAAGAAAATGGAGATGACGAAGACATGCCTTCTGTGATTTTTCCACTTTATGCAGATTTGTACAGGTGGGGGGTTGTACTAAGCTTTATAGCTCCAACACTTTGTCCTTTCAGTAGATTCTTGCTTCTAACTGGTGATAATGCCTTATCTACAGATCTCCTTAAAGGGCAACCAAAGGTATAGGAGCTCTTCAGGCTCAATTGCTGAGTATGAGAGTCCTCCATCCTGTCTCCTTTTGTGACCACAAACTGTGCCAGTGTTTGTATATTTCTCCACATACATTTTTTAACAAGTATATTTTTTTTTATTTTTTTTACAAGTATATTTTTCAAAGTTTTATTTAGTATGACAATTCAGCAGGTCAAGTTCCCCAGAAATCAGATTCTGAGAAAGTGATTAATGTGTAGGAATTTCTTTCTTTCTTTCTTTCTTTTTTGGTAGAGTTCTCAGGATGAATACCTATGAGAGAAGAAAGGGAAAGAAGCAGGATAGGGCAGAAGGAGGAGCTGGGCTTCAATTCATTTGTAACTTCAACATCAATCGATCCTCCTCCCCTCCTCTCCCCTCCCGAATTGTCCAAAGCTGGAGCAAGGAGGGTAGACTTTTATAAAAAGTCCACACATTAACCAGTCATTGGAGGCAACCTGCTTGCATCCAGCAGCTTTCCCAGGAGTTAAAGCAAAACACATTGCTGCTTAGTCACTCAGTCATGTCTGACTCTTTGTGACCCCATGGACTGCAGCAGGCCAGGCCTCCCTGTCCCTCACCATCTCCCGGCTGTTTTCCCAAGTTCATGTCCATTGAATCAGTGATGCTATCCAACCATCGCATCCTCTGCCACTCTCTTCCCCTTTTGCCTTCAGTCTTTCCATACTGCTCCTGGGGTTCTCGCAGCAAAATTACTGGAATGGTCTGCCATTCCCTCCTCCCATGGGCCACATTTTGTCAGAACCGTCCACTATGACCTGTTGGTCTCAGGTGACCCTGCATGGCGTGGCTCATAGCTTCAGTGAGTTACGCAAGCAAAACATACTTCAGTCCTGAAAGATGGGTCTGGACATCCCAGCATAGCATCCACTACACCAGTAGTTCTCAATGCTTGATCTCTCCAGCGTCAGTGATGCTCAAACTTGAGCATATATCAGAATCACCTGGAAGACTTATTAAAATACAGCTTGGTGGACTCCACACAGAATTTCTGATTCAGCAGGTCTAGGGTGGGGCTTGAGAATTGGCATTTCTCATAAGTTCTTAGATGACACTGATACTCCTGGGCTATGGAACATACTTTGAGATCTACTGTACCACACTGCCTATATTTACCTATGGAGAATGGCGTATGGTGCCCTTATGAACAGAAATAAAACCTTCTGACATCAGCATCCCATTCCACATGCCATCAAATTCTCAGCTATTTTTGTGCATTCTATACATGGACTTGCTGATAATTAAAATTTGTTATATAAAAAAGTACTTAACCGATGCAGTAAATTATATTTGTAAAGCATTATTACTATTTTATGATAATCTGGTCTTTGTTACTTTTAAAGTTCAAGCCAAATTTTCTCCAGGGTCCATAATTTGGTAACTTGGATATTATCATTAAAAAATAATAATCTATGTTCAAGGTCTTTAGTTTTGTTCAAGGTAATTTTTTTATTGCTTTATGATTCTCATTGCTACATTTTTTATTTATCGTAGAAGTCATTTAAAGGCATACAATTATGGAAAATTTTAAAGTATGGTATATTTTCAGAACTATTTTGAATGCACAAATATGGCATACAAGTACCTTTGACTCATCTAGTCTAGACTTAGCACAATTAAAATTTAAGAATTCAGTGTACATGGATCTCAGGAAAAAGGATGCAGCCTTAAATCTCCCACACAAGCCAGAGATAACAGTCTCACCTCTGATTGAAGAGATTTTCTGCCATTGCTGCCACTGAATTTTGTCTAACATATTTCCAAATTGGAAAATATTCAACCCGATGTTGTCAATATTTCAGGCCACAAGGGTGTCGTTTAGGAAAACGGTACCTTACTGTCCTGAAAGAGTTACTGCTCTTCCCTAAGGGCCTAATTTACAAAGCAGCGAACTTGGTGGTAGGATTGGGCTGGAAATCTCATTGTCTCGGTAGAACACTTTCATCTGATTTATGTGCATCACATTTTCCAAATAACTCTTGGAAAGTTATTTACTAGTTACTTTCTCTGGAAGCCGAGGGTAAGTGGTGTTTCTCTTTAAGGTTAGAGAAGCTGGGATGCATCAAGCACAGCTTATCATGATGATGAAGCTGATAATAAAATGCACAGTATCTAATTCTCTGACATGAGGGAGTTTTACACTGCCCCTTTTATTTTGTGTGACTTTGGAGTATGTTAGAAAATACATCAGTGTCTAACCCTGCGTTTGTCTCCTGCAATGTGACAGCTTATTTCTATGCCAAATTTGGAGCTGGAGGTGGAGTAAATCTTAGTGATTTCTAGCACACAAGCCAACCTAAAATATTAGCTAGCACTGGCTGAAATTGACCCATTTGTTGGTCAGAAATGGCCAAACGTCAGCAATTACACAGGCTTCAACCTGTACGTTGTATGTTTCACACCAGATTATAACATTACATTTCTCAGGGTTGTTGCAACAGTTCTGAAGTTTTAAATCATACTAAATAAATAAATAATAAAAGATACTTTGCTCTTTCTCCCTGCATTGATAGTTTGCCTGAAAACTAAATAAACAAGGAACTAGCAGTTCAGGCAAGCCCTTGAACTCCACGAGGTTTAACTGATTTGCCCAACCAGAGCACCAGGCTACCTTTCAGCTGTGCAATATTCAAGTTTATTTAGGAGTTGATAAATAGCTTAGTGCAATGCTTCCTTTTTTCCAGTTGCTGCACCCTCATAAACCTATTCTCCCCTCCACCAGTTAATGCAGACAGAAGATTTTTATCCAGTATGAACAACGAAACTACACTGTGGAAGACTGTATACTCAGCAAAAACCTCACCCATGATGAATAAACAGCTCTTCCGGGGGCTTTGCTGCCGCTGGCTCGGCAGGAGTTGTTTATTGCCTGGTTTGCACATCCCATGATAAAGTTGCTGCTGAAATAAATTGCAGTTTTGCATAATTATTGACAATCACATCTTAACAAGCAGTGTGTATCATATTCAAGTGTTCAGTTTTTTTTTAATCCATTTTTAGCTTATGTTGAATCCCAGAAAGTGTGTAGTAATAGAAGGCAAATACGACATTTAAATAGAGTACTAATTTCCTTATTGCAGAAAAAATTTACCTGAATCTTTTTAGATGGGGCTGTTACTGCCTCAGGCAATTTTCCTTCCCAAGTTGTTATTATGTAGATGTTTGCTGAGGGCATACGTGTGTGTATCCACAATACATGCATTATATATATTGTCAGAAAATATGAATAGCTCTTTTGTGGATTTTTGTGTCATAAGGAATTTGATTCATTCCTTCTATAAGATTAGAGAAATGAGAATGGAATGTAGGCATAGGGAATTCACATTTTTGAGCAACTATATGTGACTTATAATGTGTAAGGCACTCAGCTTCACACACATTGTTGTATTTTCAGTCTCATCCATACAACAATATGTAGCGCAGATGAGAAATCAGAGAGGTTAAGTAACCTGTATCACACTTGGTGGAGGACACTGGGATTTGAACCCAATGTGTCTGGATTTTAAGCTCCACTTTCTCCATTACCCATAAAATTTTTCTTTTGGAACATATTCTTAGTTGTATGACCACCAGGTAATGCAAAAGGAAGCCAATACAATAGTAGAACTATTAGAACATGCTGATGTTATGCAGATTACATTTTGCACAATGTTTGCTATGAGATATGTAATTTTTCTACTTCTTAATCTTTTTGTTCCCTTTCGTTCTCCAGTCCCCTTCTCCTTCTTCCTCCAGTGTTCAACTTTCCATTGTAGGTTTGCATTTCTCCTGGCCTATTTAATCATGGTTTCCTGCCTCAGGTGACATTAAAGATAAGCATAGTAGATTTTAGGGTTTTACCTATAGAGATTAGTTTCAAGTTTTGCTGCATATTAAAATAAGCTTTCAAAATTGACCCAGCCAAAAGTAAAATGTTTTTTAAAACAAAGATATTTTTTGGAAAATGGACTTTCAAAAGTCTAAAAATCCAAATACACACACACACACACACACACACACACACACACATATGCTGTTCTAGTGGTTGATGCTTTCAAGTGGAGTTTTAGCAGCAACTCACATTTGTTGCAATGATATGATTTAGTCCCTTTGATTTTGCTCTTTTTGTGGGATTCACTGGCTGCACCATTCTATTTGAGGATAATTGCATCTGGACATTTGTTCCTTTGCAGAGTGAATGAGCGAGAGACTGCTCTGGAAGAAACTCATAGATTACTGCAACAGTTCCCCCTGGACTTGGAGAAGTTTCTTGCCTGGCTTACAGAAGCTGAAACAACTGCCAATGTCCTGCAGGATGCCACCCATAAGGAAAGGCTTCTAGAAGACTCCAAGGGAGTAAGAGAGCTGATGAAACAATGGCAGGTAAGTCAAGCGTTTCTACTTTTATAACTCGTGAATTCAAGCAAAGAATCTTCAGCATTTTTCCTTGTAGTTGATATGCCATGGACAAAAATAGTGGTTTTATGTGGCCTTGTATATTTAGGTTTTGGGGTTAGAAGAAGAAAGAGGGAGAAGCAAAAAATCATTTCTTATTTCATTTAACACCCCAGTCTTCTAAATAGTGTGTGGTTTTGACCAGGAAAAATTTGCGCATGAAGCTGGAGCTCTGATAAGAAGAAACTTTGCTCAGAGAAAAGGAATTAGGGGTTGGTTTATTAAATTTGAAAAAGTTGCCATTTTTGAGTGTCTATTTAATATTTTATAGGAAAAGCATCTGTATGAATTGTCTGTTCTATTTAGTGTTGCTAACTGAATCAGTTTCCCTTCATTACTTTCCAATACATTTTGAAATGTTAATCTGGCCTATTGTAACTTTCCTCCTAACATAATCTGTGAAAATAAAAATGAGATGGCTAACTTTGTCATAGTCAATGATCACACAATTTTCAGACAATTGTTTTTCCTAGAAACAAAAATTATTGCTACAAAATTTCATATGCATAAACAGCAAAAACAGAAGTTTTAGATTGTTTTATTTACTTGAAATCTTGGTATGAATCATATTCTATAGTTCAGGAAGGCTCCTGATATTTAAATACTTTGGGGACATGATAGAATTTTCCTGACCTATATTGGAGTTTTGTTATGTAGAGTTAAGTTTTCCGACTTGAAATAAGAACTTTACTAGTACCACAAAGAAACTTTGGAGTGTTTGAATAATATGATCCATTTTTAGGACTAACTTCAGTTTTTTAATATCTTAAAATTATGGCAAAAAAAGTGATAGTGTATTCCAGGTTGAAAAATAATTCCAAAATCAAATCATAGTAAGGAAAGTTTCTTCTCCTCCCTCTCCTTGTTCTCCTTCTTTTCTTCTGTTTTGATACGAGATCTGATCTACTTTGTATATAGAGTAGATGACAGTGGCAATTTATAGCTTCTTGAATTCCTCATTCTTGCTTTATCATTCTCCTCAGCCCCCACTTGCTCCTTCACAATGTGTGTTGAGTTACTTTGATCATTTGGAGGTAGTTTGCATAGATAAGGCCAGGTACTGTTCTAAATAGTTATCTCCTATGGCTTGTGGATGTAAATGCAGTGTAAGGTTTGTTTTTTTGGTCCCTCTTAGGCAAATGGTTAGAAAATATGCTGCTAACATATTTGACTTATGATATTTCATTTAAAAAATCTATCTTGCCTTGTAAATGCCACCCTGTAAATGCCATAAAGCCACCCTGGAGTTTTAAATACGTGGATTCACATATTCCCATCAGCTATGGTAAATAACGAGTAAAACTCTAAGTGGATTTTTTTTTTTAGCAGATTCCTTTCAAAATTAAAGATTGTTCCAGTGACTCAATTTTATAATAGGGATTTAATAAAATATTTCTTAAATTCATAGACAAGTCTTATTGAAGATAAAACAAAATACATCCATCTATCTCCTATACATTTTATATTTGTATCTACAGTACTAATACAATGAAAATTCATACTGAAACTTCTCATCATGATAAACTTGCAAGATTCTGAATCAGTAAGGAAAAAATGGCAGTGTTTCCTAACTATGTTTATTATGAAAGTGTGGAGAATAACGTGCATTTTGTGTTTAGATTTCTAATCTCTTTCAAAATCAGTTGGAAATTATGCTGAGGAAATTTTCTTAGCTTATTCTCTATTACTCATTAAAAAATCTATTTATTCTTAAAAACCATGTAAAACTCCCTTAGAGTTCCTGAAAACCTTAGACATACCATTTTTCTCTTAACTATGATAGGACTAAAAGTCCACTGTTATTTTAAAACAGAGACCATTTTCTCATTCCCTCTCTATTAATATTGTGTCTTCTATAAATTCCACTTGCCTGAGGTTGAAACTACATTTTATGGATAGGAATGACATTTATAGCCAGCTCTGATTTTCAGTTAGATGGTTGAATAATGGTCTTTTGATGAAAGATTTGAAGATGTCATGGTAAAAACTCTAAACTACTGAAACTATTGATTATTGTTAACAGCACATTTCAGCTGATAGAATTGAAACAAAATACTGGGGTTTGAAAGCAACAGCTTGAAAATAAATAAAACTACATACCTTAGAAAATTACATGCAGTTTCAGTATTTCAGCTAAATGGAAGTGTTTGCTTTTCTCCCCCTCTGAAGATTTTTTTTTTATTTTGAGCAAAAGGGATGTTCTATAATACGTGTGAAGGAATCACGTGTAATGGTATGTCTTTCACTTCATTTGCAGAAGCTGGTAGCATTATATTCTTTGTATGATTCATGCTATATAGCAAGAATAGTTCTTACATATTAAAAAAGAAATTCCAAATGCCTAGCCAGAACATCAGCTCTCCCAGCAGATCCCAATATATCTATCCGACCCAAAGCAGTGATGTTTTACTTTATACAAATGCTGCAGAATGGAGACAGGGGGTGAAAACCCTCATAAAATAGGTTTTTCTCTATGACTGTCAATCAGTTTTTCTATATACGGAGACTCCAGCTCTTGCTAGACTGCCTATCACTGCTTATCACCCACTTCATAGGATGCTTAATTCTTCCAGCAATAATTATAATTCCTGGGTTTGATAAGCATTCATGTATTATGAAACATATGCTTCCTGAATAGAATTAACCTGATTAATTCCACTCTGGAAGCCATTAAAGTGTCTTCCTTATATGAGAGAAGAAATGTTATTTACTTTGCTTATTAAAAGCAAGATCATATTTGTCCCTGTACTTTCGGATGAGGAGATCTTTTCTTATACAGTATTGGTATTTCTGACAGTATAACTGGCATCTTAAAGCCAATGTATTTTTACAGTATGCCATATAGAGGCCTGTGAAGCGACAGTTTGAAAAGTTTTAAATTGAAAATTTATTCTTAAAATGAAGAATTATATTCATAATTGTATCAGATTCTTCCTGTGTCCAAAGCATTTCCTACTTTGGGCCTCAGAGAATTGGTAAAGATGGCCACAGTTCTCAGTGCTAACGTAAAACTATCGGTAAGCAACTGAAAATGGGTAGACTCTACATCTTTGCTAATCTTTCACAAGAATTTCACCAATCTTAACTGATTCTCTAAGCACCCCTAAGAGATCATTGTAATAGCCGCTTGTAAAGAAGGTATGCGGGGATGGGTGTACAGTGGGGAGAGATGGTCATAAAGGTAAGATAATTAGGGTCTTTTCTCAACTAGAGAGACTATGGAGCAATTAATATTTGAGGTTCCCTCATCTGTGATCTGGGTCCTGCCTCAGGCCATATCTCTCAACTGACTCCCGCCTCTGATTTCATTTGTTTCACCTGTGTCTCCTCCCAACCTGCCACAGCCATTATAGAAAACCTCTTCTACTAAACAAAATACTTCCAGAGAGAAAGGTTGATAAATTTTGAATTGTACATCAGAGTATACCTGGAAATTGATTAAACTGTCTTAAATTTCTAATACATTGTTGAAATTGAGGGAAAGTAGCTTCTTCAATGTTGCTCACAATATATCTTGGCCCACTAATTAATTCCAAAGGAATAAGAAAGAATGCAACGTCAATAGCAAAATTAGTATCCTGAATAAATTAGATTGTCACATTTGTTGGTGCATTTGAAAAGAGAGGTAATCTGACTACCCCTAATTCTAAGAAAAGAAAAACCTTTGTGTATGCCTTTCTGTTGCTGTAATTTGAATTGAGTTTTATATGTACTTTTTAATCTTTCTACTTTGGTGTCCAAAGATTATGAAAGATTATTTTGATGTTTTTATTTTGCCTAGTGATATCTGCCTGCCATTTTTGACAATATGCAAAACATATAAATGTATACATATATACATATGTATTAAATTTCCATAAAAATGTTGATTAATTCATCAAATCTTTAGTGAACACCATTAGATGTCTAGTATGGGGTTAGGACTAGCATTACAAATATAATTAGAGAGATGTTTTTCAAGCATAGTTCAAAGAACTAGGCTATGTAATCAATTTAATGAGTATCAATTCACATTTTTTAACAGAAAGGAATAAAATTAGTAGAATACAAAAATTACAAGGGTCTATCCCTCTTAAATAAGAGTCAGTATTATTTTGTGAAGCTTTGGTTTCAACTATTTGAATATACATGCATATGTATTTGTGTACATACTGGACTAGTGTGTAACACATATTCAGAAACCTCTGTATTGGAGTATGATTTCTGCCTTTGGGATGCTTACATTCCAGAGGTAAGGATAGTTACACTAAGACAAAATTCTGGTAGTGTGATGAGTGTTAAAGTAAAGGGCTGCTACTGCTAATGCTAAGTCACTTCAGTCGTGTCTGACTCTGTGTGACCCCATCCCTGGGATTCTCCAGGCAAGAACACTGGAATGGGTTGCCATTTCCTTCTCCATAAAGTAAAGGGCTAGACAGGGTCTAATAAAAACAGAAGATGATTAAGTTAAGCTTGCCAGAGTCTCCAGGAAACTCACCTGGAACACTGCTTTTCAGTCTTGGAAGAGATTTTTTAAATGCTAATTTCTGGGTTCTACCCCTAGAAAATCAAACTGCATTGATCACAGCATGTCCTGTCCAGCCAAGGTTGAGAACTTGTTTAGAGAAAGTGAGAAGAATGTGTCAAAAGTGAGCTAGATGCACAGAGTTAAAAAGGGATTTCTGGCAAAGGAAACAGCATATTGAAAGTCCTGGACAGTTGAGTAGTTTGAGAATCAAAAGGTACTTCTTTATGGCTGGGGTGGCTGGGGTGTGGTTATTATAAGAAATGTGATTGGAAAGATCAGCTGAGGCTAAATTATGTAGAAAGGCAAGCATGATAGAGCAGATAAGAGTATGAGCCTTGTAGGTAGAAAGATCACTTATTTTACCACTTGTTGTCTAACCTCTAAGTCTCAATTATATCCTTCTGTACAAAGAGAGTAATGC